GACGGGTTTTCTACTCTATGTTCCGGATCCGGATCCGGATTGGGTCTACCCCAAAAAAATTTATCAAAACTTATAATTTCTAATAAAAATGAGAAAAAAATATATTTGTAAATTAATTTATAACTAATACAAAAAAAACAAATAAGAAAAGGAATCAAATTGAATTTACTCAAATACATCACCCTAATCAAATTATATTGATAAATATATATATTTTAAATTATTAATCTATTTATATCCGGATCCGGGCCTAATACGGATCGAAATATTATGTTCCGTATCCGACTAGTTTTTTGTTTGACAAAACGGATCCGGATTCGGGTAACAAAATTAAATCCCTACCCGTACCCGCAATAATTTTAAGGATCCGGTCCGGGTCTGGGTCTAGACCCGGACCGTTGACAGGCCTAGGTGTAGGCTTGGATGGATGTCACTTAATGGGGTCATTTGGAGGGCAATTGATTGCTGCAATGAGTAGAGATGGAAACAACCAAATGCATCCACTTGCCATGGCTGTAGTAGAAGTTGAATGCAAAGATTTTTGGATATGGTTTCTTAGGTTGATTATTAATATACTTGGACGACCAGAAGATATGAAATATGTATTTATATCAGATAGGCAGAAGGTACTATCACTCATTCAATTTTTTTTTTTTAGTATTTTGTTCTTTTACATGCTATAACTAGTTCAAGAAGCAATAACAATATCTTGCCCAAAAGAGGTTTTATTTGGTTTTTGTTAGACTTAATTTACTTTAATTTCGATTTATACTCGTACAAATTGAATCCATTTGATCAAGCAATAACAATGGAAAATCAACTGTGTATGCCGCATCATTTCCATCATCCTCAGCAGGCATTTCTTCTAGAGATTGAAATGGCTTATGAGGCATTTCTAAGAATTCACCATCTCCTTCAAGCATTTCTATGACTTTGTTCATGGAAGGTTGACTGCTTGGCTTTATTTGTATGCACGACAATCCTACCAAGTACCAAGATCATCTTCTCTACCATCTTCCGCTCATCTTCGTAAGCTTCTCCTATATCAATCATGTTTCCTTTATTTAGTTGGTCATAAACCCACAATGGGACGTATATTTGGCTGGTTTGATCCACAAATGGATTCAAAATTTTCCTTTTTCCAGCATTTCCAATAGCAGCATTCCAAAGTTGTATATGTCTGCTTTATTTGAGATGACCCCAATCTTTTTGTAATATATCTTTGGAGCCATATAACCCAATGTGCCTCTAGCAGCTGTTAGGGACATATTATTATTCTCTATTGGGCACAATTTGTCAAGTCAGAAGTCTGAAATTTTTGGAGTAAAATGTTTATCTAGAACAATATTTGTGAGGCTTGATGTCAAAATGCAAGATTCCGTTTCCGAACCACAATGTAAATAATCAATTCCATAAGTTACTCCAAGAGCAATCTTGAACAATTCTTCGCAACTCAAGGACATTCTCTGTTTCTTTGAGGAAGATGTGTTTCTCAAGGTATCCATTGGGCATGACTTCATAAGCAAGAGCCTCTATTGAGCCTTGAAAGCAATAACCAATGAGTTTCATCACATTAACATGTGTGAATCTTACCAATGGTTGCAAGCACCTTCATTGATGACTTCTTGTGCATTGACTTGGATTTTCCTACCAATTTTACAGCTTTGAATGGACTGCTTCGAAGCTTTCCTTGAAATACAGTTCCATAGCCTTCTTCACCCGATTTTCTGATGAAATTGTGACACGATGTGAACGTGTAGGAAGGAGAATTGTTACACAAACTAATCTAGATAACCAAACCAAGGGTAATTCACGATTAATGCTATAAGAAAATTGGTATTTAATAAGGACCCACATAAAATTCAACCAGAATCTAACACTTAAGCGCACTCAAGAAAAGAAATCCTTCAAGTTTGTCAGTTTTTTTAAAAATATCTAGCTGCTCGCTATTTTAAAAACCAGCTAGCTGCTCCTGTCTATAATCATACCCATTAAGCATATCTGTATACTTCTATCGTAATGTTAAGATCTTTCCAGGAACTAATTTTCAGCATCTGCCTTCCAGATTAGCTCGCCTAGAAAGTATTCCAACTCAGTCTATTATTCTTCCTGCTGCTCCCAATTGTGATCATTGTGGTGCTAAGCGCTTCCCTTTAGAACCTCCTTATTTTTGTTGCTCTGGGGGTGAAATCTCTATTGTTGCTCCTGCTATGCCTTATGCTCTTAAACGTCTATTCATTGGTAATGATGAAGAATGTGAACACTTAAGGAAGAACGCTCATACATATAATAATAATGTGGCATTCACGTCTTATGGTGCTAAATATGATCGCGAATTGACAAAGAATACATCTGATAAATCATCAGGAATTCAGATATATTTTTTTGACACTGATGAAGAGCTTGCAAAGAGAGCTCAAAATTCTGATAGATTTTGGCCGACCACTCTCAAGCTGCTGATGACAATCCTGCAAGAAAATCCTTATACCAGATTTTTCAAAGATCTTAGGGATGTTCCAGCCCTTCAGAGCCATACTATAGTTCTTAAGTGTTATCCTGAGCTAGATCAGTGTGTCTTTAATCTTCCTGCTGCCTCTCAAGTGCCCGCTATATGGACCGAGACAAATGACGAGTCAGTTGAGAAGAGCCATCACATTCAAATTTATAGTCATTCGAACGCAAGTTATAGGGTCCAATCATATTATGCGTGTTACGATCCGCTTCAATATCCTCTTTTGTTCTCTATAGGTGAATTTGGTTGGCATCGTGGCATCAAGAGAGTATGTTCAAAAAGGAAAAGAACAGATGCTTGTGACGTTGATGTTCATATTGACTTTTCTTCTGCTAGAATCCTTCTGACTTATTCAACATGGAAGATATAGGCATGTGTATTTCTTATATTTATACATTAATTCTGCTGTAGTGTTCTATATATTCACTCATAATATGCCTTTCTTTTTTTCTTTTAGCCGCTCAATAGAAAAAGGATCAGGATTATACTGTATCTGCTAGGGAGTACTATTGTTATCGATTGCAAATGAGAGACAATGATAATTCTATGTTGCTTCATAGTCTGAGATTATTACAGCAATTTGTTGTTGGTACATATATAAAGATTGAGAAATCTAGGCTTGATTTTCATTGAAAGCAGCAAGCTGAAATTAGAACAGAGATCCTTCGGGGAGTTATAGACAGTGTTGGAGTAGGCCAAACTCAAGGCTCTAGAGTCGGTCGCCGAATAGTATTACCAGTTTCATTTATCGGTGGCCCAAGGGACATGAGAAGAAGATATCTTGATGCAATGACCTTAGTTCAAAAGTATGAAAAACCTGACATATTTCTTACCATGACTTACAATCCAATGTGGAAGAAAATTCAGGATAATCTTTAATATCAAGAAAAGCCACAAGACAAGCTTGATTTGCTGGCTAGAGTATTTAGAGCTAAGTTTGAAATGTTAAAGGTCGAGTTTCTTAAGAAACAGATTTTTGGAGAGGTTGCAACTTGTGTCTATGTTATTGAATTCCAAAAGCGAGGCTTCCCGCATGCTCATTTACTGCTTATTCTTAAATTAGGGTTCAAACTATTGAATCCGGAATCATATGACAGAATTGTTTCTGCCGAAATACCTGACGCTAACAAGAATATGCATTTATATTCCCTTGTCATTAAGCATATGATTCATGGACCATGCGGTGACAAGGATATGTAAAGCCCTTGCATGAGAAGCGGTGCATGCAAAAATCATTATCCTAAGAATTTTGCACCTTATACAGTTCATGGTGAGGACAGCTATCCATGTTATAAAAGAAGAGATGATGGTCGAAAAATAAAGGTGCGCAAGCATGGGCTGGACAACATATGGGTAATACCTTACAGCCCGTACTTATTAGTTTTGTTTGATTGCCACATGAATGTTGAAATCTGCTCCACTGTTAAGCTTGTTAAGTACCTTTATAAATATATTTTTAAAGGTCATGATCTTATCAGTTTTAATCTTCTTGATCAAGATTCTGTTGGTAACATTGATAAAATTAATCGATTCCAACAAGGACATTGGGTTTTGCCTCTAGAAGCTTTGTGGCGTATACATGAATTTCAACTGACAGAAATGAATCCAACAGTTTATACCCTGCAGGTTCATCTTCCTGACCAGCAATTTGTTTCTTTTGATAAAGGTTCAGATTTGTGGTATCTTTTGAGGAAAATTGATTTTTCAAAGACTATGCTGACTGAGTTTTTCAAAATGAACAAAACAAATGCTAAAGCTTAGAATTTTAAGTGCTTATATAAAGATTTTCCTCGACATTTTGTATGGACGTCGAAAACAAAGTCATGGTCAGAGAGGAGTCGAAGAAAGGTCATAGGGAGAATGGTAACTATCGAGTTTAGGGAAGGAGAAAGATACTACTTAAGACTTTTACTCATACATGTTCAAGGACCAACGTCATTTGATGACTTACTTATGGTTAGAGGCCACAAAACAGGCTCTTTTAGAGAAGCCTATTTGTAGTTAGGATTATTGGAATCTGATTCCTATATAGAAGAAGCATTACAGAAAACTGCTCATTTCCAGATGCCTTTTTTGTTAAGGTCTTTATTTGCAATGCTTCTATTTTATTGTTCTCTGAAAAATTTCAAACATCTTTGGCAAGCATTTGAAGAGCAGCTATCTTCTGATTATAAACGGAGTTGCGCACATCGGCACTGCACATTAATAGAGATTAAAGGGAAAGTTCTTCAAGATATTAATGCAACATTGGAACTCATGGGAAAAAACCTTGATGACTATCATTTCTTCGAAGATTCCTTTACGTCCTGTTATGATGAGCGCCTGACGAAAGAAATTCAAAGTGAAACAACGATACCAATTGATTGATCCAGAAGATCTGTTTCTTCCTCAAAAATTGAATGTCAGACAAAGGCATGTATTTGATTTGATTTCGGATTCAATATCCAGCTCAAAAGGTCAAGCTTTTTTTATTGATGGTCCAGGTGGAATGGGCAAAACTTTCTTATATCGAGCGCTTCTCACTTTTCTTCGTTCACAAGGATATGTGGCAATTGCAGTTGCCACATCTGGTGTCGCAGCATCTATCCTCCCTAGTGGTAGAACTGCACACTCAAGGTTTAAAATTCCTTTGAGTTTCTCAAAACAAAAAACTTGTCAATTAAGTAAGCAGAGCAGTGTTGCCTGGCTGATTGTTAATGCTAAATTAATCTTGTGGGATGAGACTTCAGTGATAAAAAGAGAAACAATAGAGGCGTTTCATTATCTTCTTACGGATATAATGGAATCTGATGTACCCTTTGGAGGAAAAACTATTATTTTTGGTGGTGATTTTCGCCAAACCCTACCAGTTATTGAACAGCTAGGTAAGGCAGATTTGATCAAATCAACTGTTCTATATTCACATTTATGGTCTCATATGCATAAGCTGTGACTGGCAACAAATATGAGAGCTGCCTTAGATCCAGTATTTTCAACTTTTTGCTTAGAGTAGAAAAAGGTGTTGAATCTGTTGATCAACATGGTCAGATATCCCTTCCACCTCATATGGTTATTCCTTATCATAACAAAGAAGAATCGTTTGACAAGTTATAATCATATAGTGCATTATAAGTAGTTCATTCTGTCAGTGTACTTTGACTACTTGTGCTGATTACATGTAAATTCTTCCAGGTTACTTGGGACCGTCTTTCCTGATTTAAATCTGTACTCATGTGATCCTTATCAAATGATAAATAGATGTGTACTTTGTCCGAAAATTAGTTCAGTGGATGAAATTAATGGCATGATGATTGCAAAATTTTCTAGAAATCTTCACAGATATATAAGTTGTGATAGAACTGTTAATAAGAGATATCAGGCAGATTATGAGGACTTTCTAAATTCTTTGAACCCAAAAAGTTTGCCTCCTCATGAACTTTTACTCAAAGAAAACTGTCCTATAATGCTTCTGAGAAATGTGAATCCAACGGATGGTCTTTGCAATAGCACACGATTAATCTGTAGAGAATTGGATGAACACACAATTTCTGCTGAAATTGTCTCTGGTCCTCATAAAGGGAAAAAGGTCTTCATTCCAAAAGTTCGTTTGCAAACTTCTGACAGCGAAAAGAATGGTATTCCATTTATACGGACATAGTTTCCCATTCATTTATGTTTCGCAATGACAATCAATAAATCTCAGTGTCAGACTCTTGACTATGTTGGAATTTATCTCTGTGAACCTGTCTTTTCTTACGGCCAGCTTTATGTTGCTCTCTCTAGAGTTAGGAATTCTTCTGCAGTTAAAGTTTTAATAGTTCTGGGTACTTCTGATGACATCAAAGTTGATTGTAAAACAAGAAATGTTGTCTTTCATGATATATTTCGCCTGACTAACATATGATATATGAGGTCTAACTACCCATACCATTGAATACTTATTAATTTATGATTTGAAGAATCAAATGCTAACACTAATTTCCCATTCTATTTCTGTTTTTAAAAAAATTACAACATGGAACTTGTTATCCCAGTCAAGGACGTCCTGCCTGGCTCTGAAGGTTGGACCTGCAAAGTCACCGTGCAAGAAAAGCAGCAGATAATTGGATCAGCAATGACGCCAACAAAAAAATAAAAGTTTATTTTGCTGGATTCAGAGGTCTTCTCTCTGCTGCCATGATATATACTTCTCCATACTGCATGATTAACCATTTCATCACTAAAAGAACGCATTAATATGGTCCTTATATTTTTCATATCATTAAGGCATCTTCTGTTTTTATCTACAGGTCAATGCATGCATAATTGATTGCCTTGTGAATATTTTTCTTGTGGATAGGGATTGCAGGTAGACGGGATTACGTTCAATAATGACATTCCAAAGATCAGCCCTGGCCTTTAAGTTTATAAAAAGTATCTGATTTCAAATGCCATAGTAAGGCTCATTCCAGAAAAATATTGAACTGCTGAGCTGAAGATCCAGTGGGTTATCACCAGCCGAATAGTCATCGAACCAGTCAATGATGATGACGATATTCTACCTGTAAAGTTTGACAGTACAAAATTCAGTGATCTTGTGAACTTCATGGATGACAGAGAAAAATCAGTTGGTGAGCTTCAGTAATGTAATTTTTCCATTTATTCATCGGTTATGTTCTTTTTCGTGATTGATATTGTATTATTCTGCAACAGATGTACTTGCTATAGATATTAAAGCACTGGATGTCAAACATATCAACAGAAATAAAAAAGATTCAGTTGTTCAGAAATTTGTTATTGTTAACAAAGAGTAAGTTTTTCCGTAGAGATGTCATGTTGATTATATCATAGTGTTTATTTTTCTATTTATTTCATAATTGGCTATTTTCCTGTATTAGTGCGCAGACTGTTATGTTATCATTGTGGGATGATTTTGTAACTAACGAAGGTCACCAGATGACACGTAACATGCAGAATCACCGTGTTGTTGTTTGTCGCAGGTTGAAAGTTAGCTTTTACAATTCAGAAATCACCCTGTTTGTCGCAGATAATTTGTCGCAGACTATTCATCTGCATCACTGCTTGAGGATGACAATTCAGCTAAAAGAGCCAAATTATCTTAGAGTAGTTTTTTACTTCCCCGTTAATCCTACTGGCCTTGTTTCTGTTCACCATTCCAGATGAATGATTGACGGGTATTTTACATATGTACAAGTTTAAAAAAAAATTGAATTACACCCGTTCACTGCAAGTATACAGGTCAACTAGTAGTTTAGGGTATATATCGGGTCGATCCCACAGGGAAGAGTGAACAATTACCAGTATTACTAAAGTTTCTCTATTATTTAGACTATCAATGAATTATAACAAATTTAACCTACTGAAATTATACAAAATAACAAATAAAAACTCCTTAAGTTGTGGTATCCCTAACTACTCATGCAAGTAGTATATTTGGATCATTGAGTACTACATCTAGGCTAGTTATGGTATAATTTCCTTAAACATGTGAAACATACTTTCGTTGTGAATCAACTATACTTATAACTAATCCATACCTATTCTCATGGTTATGAAATTAGCTAAAAGTTCATTTCTACATGAAATGAATCACTAAAAACCACATAGGTGCACCTCTAATTTCGTGAGTGTACTCCCTATGTTTAGCACTTCTTGAACTAGTGTTAAATCTCAATTTTCATTGCAGAAACAACACCTTAGATAATTACAATCAATGGTACCAGATTAATCATGATTTAAAGAGCCAAAGTGCTAAATAACTTGCTCAAATCATAGCAATCAAATAACCAAATAATAAACACTAACAATTATAGAAAGTTCAACCAAACCCAAGGCTTAAACTTTAGAGACACATATTAAACACAAAATTCAGAACTTGTATATTAACTAAACTAGGAATCAAGTACAAAAGATAAAGAGTTGAAAAGAAATGTAACCCTTGTCACATGAGTTAATCTTCTTGCCTTCTTCATCCTCCAACCTCTTCTTCATCTAGCTAACAAACAAGAAGGATGAACTAACTAGCTAAACTAAAACTAATCTAACACTCAGAAGATGTAAGAGCTACATTTCTGCACTCCAAACTTTCTCCCGTATCTCCCTCTATTCTCTCAATTTAGCAATGAATTTGGCTATATAAAGATGAAAGATTGATCAAGACTTGAGGTTTACACCTCCCTTTTACAGCTAGAAATGTTTCTCATATGTCTAGCATCACATGTGAGTTGGTAGAGGTGAAATTGAGTTTTAAGCGTACATAGCAGCCTTTTCTGACCACAATCCGGCCAGGAATCCGGCCAAGTTCTGGCCAGATTGATACAGTGATATTTTGGTGCATTTTTGTTCAATTTCCAGCTCTGCTCCGATTTTGCGTCAACTTCAACTGAACTTTTCTTGATGATAAAAGATGATTTAACTCTTGACCAAAACATGAAACTTGTAGCCCTTTGAGTTAGCTTTCGAATGCATTAAGAATCACCTCATTTAGAACTGTGTAGACTGAGAAATGACCAAAATACCCCAGCTGCTCAGATTAATGACATCATTTTACTGCAGTTTTTGCCCTCATGGAAAATACTATCGTTCCGCTATCAACCATTGATCCAAATCTACTAAATTGGATAGCAATTGTCCAAGTTATTGAAATAACACATGTCATACGTTTTGGTGGACCTCAAACTCATTATCAACAATATGCACTTGCTGATCCACAGGTTTGACAATTTTACTTTTTCAAATTATTCTTTTGTTCTTCATTTACCTTTTAACAACAACTAACAATGCTAAAATACGGAGAGTTACGGTCAATATGCATGTACCTGCAGACTATTTTCAACAATTTGCCAGCCTGCTTTTACCTTTTAAGACATACTACATATCTAATGCAATTGTGCGTCCATCTCTTGCTGATATCCCTGCCAGAGAATGCTCGTACTATTGGGTTCCCACAAAAAGACACACTTTCAACGAATACAAGAACTACAACAACCTTCTCTTCCACTTTCTTTCCAGTTGCACCCCTTTGCCATGTTGGACACAATTGCTAATACAAATCATTTGATAAGTACACAGACCAGTGCCCTTTTATTTATTTAATTTTTCCCGCACAAAATAAAACTTGTTTTATCAAATATTTTTAATTGTTTCTTATATATAACTGCATTAGATATCATGGGAATAGTGCTGCATGTCCGACCTATAAAAGAAACAAGTGTGCGAGGAAAACTGACTATCAGTAGAGATTATGTAATTGCTGATAAGAGGTTACAATCCATTTTTTACTATTGACACTTTCGCAATACCTTTGACCGATACTATAGAATAACAATTATCATTCTCTTTCTTGATACTTCTAAAGTCTGCGGCCATTACTTCTCACTCTCTCCGATCAAATTGAAGAGGCCCATGGACCTATTATTGCTTCCCAGCATGAACCCTGTCCAGTTCTTATTGCTATTAGGATCAAAGTCACAACGAAAAACTGTAAGCATACATATTTCTCTTTTTCGCAAATATTTTTATCATACAAAGAAATCGAAAAATTTCTTTTTTATTTATACAACTCATGCTTAATAGAATTTATTAATATTTATATTCAGTAATCGTTTGCAGTACTAAACAAAACGTAAACAATTTTTCTCCTAAATTATATTATATACGCCTAAAATATGCTCCCTATAACATTTACAGATTACCATATAATAATAATCATGCAATTATAAATTACCCTTGACAATGAAACGTGGATGATATTTAACAGTGGCCCAAACTAGGGACCGCTCCACTGAATGCTCAGACGGTCCACTTTGTCTCATTCACTGTTCAAAATAAATACTCATTAAAGCCCTCCACCAACCCCCACTTACTGGAACATATATCACCTTCCCCCGCTTGAACATTTACTCTCACCATCCTCTTCAATCTTTGACCAGTGAAAAGCTTCCCAGCGGTGAAAACGCAGCATAGTTTCCTCCTTCGCATGAACATCAGGTAACCTTCCATAAATCTCTAATAGTTTTTCACTAATAGATGAACATTTTACTTGCAAAATATCCAATCCTTTGATTGTTTCCACAGCCATTTCTCCGCATCATGCACAGCTTTTTGCTTCTTTAACATATTGAATGTTCAGATTTAACCCTTCCAGAAAATTCACATTGCTATTTTCTGCAACCATTTATCAAACCCAACTTATATCCCTTAGTAGCTCATCCTTCTAAATATATAGCATATGTAATCAAATATAACATATATCATTACATAATCAGTTATACTTAAACCAATATTATGCTTAATTACATATCACCACTTTACCACTTTACACTAACAACTTAAATTCTCTACAGTTACATGGACAATGATGTGTTTCTTTCATGGACACTAACCGCCCAGATTACACCACAAAGACAAAAATTATACAAATACTATTTAGTTAACTAACTCCCACTGGCCATAAAACGCTCGCTGCTACAGTTTTACAGCGAGATGCCAAACACTATACCTAAAAATACGATGATGCGTTCATTAAACAACATTCGACCCTAATTGAAGATGTTGGAATTCTTGAACTTAAGAATACCATTTCCATTCCTAAGTGGTTAGAATGTGTCCTAATGTTTGTTTCTCCATATCCACCAGGTAATTGTAAATTCACATCAT